CAGCGAGCAAACAGTCGGTGGGTTGCCCCAGGAGGCAGCAGCAGGTCGCAGCAGTGTCAGTGGAGCAAACGGCACACGGAGTAGAGCACCAGCTCCACTGCAGCCTACCACCAAACGGCCAGTAGTGGTGGCCGTTAGTGCACGGTTAGGAAGTACCAGACAAAGCCAATGAGGAATTATCGGGGCACAAGTAGTTTTCCTACTCGGCGCATGTGGCACATTTTCGTCAAGCCGCCCAAAAGATGGGAAGTAACAGTAGCCGTATTGTTCGAACTATGTGGCCCAGAAAATATCTCAAGCTTGGCCATGTGGCCAATGGTTGGGACTGACAAACAGCGATGCGACAGCAAATGCAGCGGTCGCCATTTCTGTGGCCTGGGAAAACCGTGATAAAAGATACGTTCGGTTCTGCCTGCCCCCAGCCCCCGCTCCATTCACCCGCTCCGTCAACCCACCGTCAATCGCCCTCATCTCAATTCAGCCATGTCAAGGCTCCCCACACACACTCTGCTGAGGGGAGTTGTCCCCGCTTTGTGCTCGATTGGCATCTTCCGCACGTTCAGATGCTCCATCACCTGCTACTCTCCTCTTCACGGATATTCCGTTCAGCAAGTCCTTTCTTGGAAACCGTTTTCCCAAGAGACAATCAGTTTGCTAGCCACGCTACGCGGGGGGGCCGACGGATGCCAGAAGCTGGCGCGAGCCATCCTGCTGTCCAAGTTCTGCTGGCGCATGCAGTTCATCATCTCCCTTCTTCCAAGTGGAGGACTCATCACCTTTCCGAGAAATGATTGGCTTGGATGCCGAGCCGCGGAGGAGAGTGCCAAGCCGGGCATTTCATTGCCAAAAAGAGCAGTGCCAGCCCTGCATTCACATGTAAGGAAGAATAGGGTGGGCCAGTCTTTGAGCATGTCGGTCATCTGCCAAAAAGTGCACGTCACAGTCGCGCGACGTGTGAAAACTGTAACTACGGGTCAAGAAGGAGCAGTACATGGTCCATTTAACACGGCCCAATGGGTGAACGTCGTTGCCCGTCACACCTACGCCAGCACCAGCAACCTTGGACAGGTGCACACTTCCGCTTTTGCCTCACCAACGTTTGCACGTCCATGGGGTTGGTCCACCCAAAATGATGTCCCGCCTCTACCACTCTCATCTTCCGCTGTGTCCTCAGGCCGCCACCCTTCCCGCCCGCCGTGCCAAGTCCCATTACCCGACCGGCATATCAACATGTGCAAGGCGCAGAACGGTGGTCACGCTGTGCTCTGAGCCACCTGGTATTCCTTGGCGAACGTAGTCCACACAGGAGGCGGACTACATGAGTGTACTGAACATGAGAAATCGACATAATGGCTGTCTCCGCGCAAACTGAAAATCGGAAACAATGTTGACGCGACACCACGGAAAGAAACATGGTGTCTGACTCTGCGTCAAGGAAGGGTTTGTGCCATGCTTGTCTTCACACGTTGTTCAAAATCTAGGTTGTCAAAAGCGGTATCCTAAAATCCACCATCCCACTGCAAGACAATCCTTCAAAATGTCACTTCAGCATTGCATTCAGCATTTCCAGCCATTCCTACAACAACCGCAAAGCACACACTTCCATTGAGCTAGCAGCGGCAGAACAGGAACTTATCCCACAGCAATCGCCTGATCTGCGACGTTGCGACAAGGTAGGAATCCAACCCTACGATATGTTAGACCGCCTTTAACGAACCAGCGAAAAGTGACCATCACCGATTTCCTGACTGTAACAAGCGTATAAAGGTACGTCCCCCCTGTGTAACTTAGATGTCCAGCCATTGGCAGCTCTCATGCGTGACAACATCCTAACCCTTGCCTGCTTGCTCAAGGCCCTATTGAGAGGAGAGCCCACGCTTAGTTACGAGAGTTGGTACAGGACTAGTGGGATGAACGAACCGTCATTCCTTCTGTAGCACTGTCCAGGAACAAACTAGCATATTAACAAAGGCTGTTCAGGAGTGCGGTAGACATGGAGCGCACCAGATCACAAACGCCACATGACCCCCTGTGGGGACAGGACATCAGGAAGAAGAAGGATGCGGGTAGAGGGAGGACATATGTGTTGCTCAGGAATTATTGAGGTGAACTGGGTGGTTTTTCCACTCAGTCGGACAGGAGTAGGAGGAGCAGAAGCATCTGGTAAGAGGATGAGGAGGAGACAGAGGAGACCCATACCGCACACGTGTCAAGTAATGCTAGTGGAGATGGAGGCCATGGAGTCCCACTGCATTCCTAGGCACAAAATGGCCCATAGCATGCTCGGTTAGTCTTGCGTAGCGACAGCCGACATAATAACCACATCAGACAGCGGGATGACTTTTTGGCTGTCTCACCTAGTTGGACCCTCTCGCTACCGTTTCAAAAATGTGGCCTTTTTCACACCTGCTGAGAGGGAGGCCAAAATAAAGTCCTATAAAAACCACCTATGTAGTCAGTTTGGTCTCTGCCTTTCCTGCGCCAAACGTCCATCCTCAGAACACTGTGGGCCCTGTGCTCTCAGTCGGGAATTTGATTTGAATATTCTGTCCCGCCTTAATAGCCGCCGACTGTCGTGGCGACATAATATTATTGTCACTGTGTAGACATCTATTTATAGGGCCGATGTTTGGCCACAAAAATATATTTAGTAATAACCTAGCCGTTTCAGGCCGCGTTCAGTGCCGTCAATGCCCACAGTGAAACTAACCTCGGGAATTGCTTTGTATATCTGTCGCCTTAGAGGCCGCTGTCTGAACAGCTCATGAATTGCTTTCTAATATGTGGTCGCCTTTGAGGCCGCTGGCTGGACCAGCTGATGAATTGATTTGTATATATGTACTTATTGTCCCCGCCCAGTCCGGACAGCTCATGAATTACTTTTTGTATATAGCCTTCCAAACCACTCTCAGAATAAGACATGATATTCATGCTGTGTATAGCCTTATAGGCCAATGTTCAATCAAGTCATGATTGTTATAGTGTGTATAGCCCTTATAGGCCCTGTCTTTACAACTTTATAATTCCATGCAGTATATAGCCCTATCGGCCCACTTTCTGGCATCCCATTGCTGTAGCCCCCATCACCCACACTGTGCCACGGGCCCCTGTACCGCCTTTCTCATACTGCTTGCCAGATCCATCCTCTGCCATGAGCGTCTTTGTCGTCTGCTCACGCTGCTGGTTCCAGTTTTAAACCTAGGCCTGTGTATGCTTCCGAATACTGCTGCCTCCACCGCCACCCTGCGCCATGTGCCTCTGTCATCTGCTCACGCTGCTTGACGGCTTCCTCCGCTTTTAAACCTAGGCCTGTGTATGGCTTCCGAATACTGCTGCCTGCCAATTCCACCGCCACCTTGTGCGCCTCTGTCATCTGCTCACCGCTGCTGCTGACGGCTTCCGCTTTTTAAACAAGTCCTGTGTATGTCTTCCGAATACTGCTGCCTTCCACCGCCACCCTGCGGCGCCATTGCCACTTTCGGGTCTTCTCAGTCACTGCTGCTCAGGTACCAATACTGATTCATGGCCCCCTGTACCGCTCCTCATGAACGTGGTTCACAGCCGGGTTTGCATCACTTAACGGCAAATCGTTGACAAATGCTGACGTTCAGTGTTTTGTGCGCATTAAGCCAGACACCAAAGGGCAGCACAGAACCTGTAATTACCTCGCTCATGCATGGCTGAACTAAAACCAGTCTCTACCACAAATTGGACCCAGACCTGCCCAGGGTCTCGTAAACTAGATTGCACGGAGGAGTAGAGTCCGTTATCGGGAATTAAAATAGACAAAACGCCACACCCAAAAGAGTGGCCATTTCCAACACTTATTCCAGAAAAGAGGAACAACCCGTTTCATATACGGCCCGTAGACGTTTTCACGTCCTTGCCACATTCAGTCCGATTAAAGACGCAAGCTCCACTTCCTGTGGTCTCTGACCGTCGATATACCTTTCTAAGTGTCAGCTTTGCGAAGCTATATTCCCTCCGGAGCACTGACACTAGGTGCCCTTCTGTCAACAATGCCTTTAAGTTTCAGTTTTCAACCATATTCCCCACAGAAGCCAAACTCTTGGGTATCCCAGAAGCTGCTCACAGCGGGTCAGGGCAATAAAGCTCCCCCCGATCGCAGGTTGTTCCGTCTTATGGATGGAAGTAAGACGGTATATGATCTTCTTCGCACCACGGCATCACCTCATAGAATCTATGCAATTGCATCTGCAATCACAACGCTGACTTCCCGATCGCCACTCAGCCATTGGACTCAATGATAGTCATCTCCCCACACTGCTGCTGGTGCGACTTTTTAACCTAGGCCTGTGTAATGGCCTTCAATTGAAGCTGCTTCCGCTCCGCCACTCTGCAATTGGACTCTTGATAGTCGTCTCCCCACGCTGCTGCTGGGGGACTTTTTAACATAGGCCCTCTGTATGGCCTTTAATTGAAGCTGCTTGACCGCTCCGCCACTCTGCCATGGGCCTCTTGGGTATCCCAGAAGCTGCTCAGCCCGGGTCAGGGCAATAAAGCTCCCGGTTCGCAGGTTGTTCCGTCCTTATGGATGGAAGTACGACGTATATGATCTTCTTTCGCACCCACGGCATCACCTCATAGAATCTCTGCATTGCATCTGCAATCACAACAGCTGACATTCCCGGATCGCCACTCCGCCCATTTGGACTCTTGATAGTCGTCTCCCCACACTGCTGCTGGGGGGACTTTTTAACCTAGGCCTGTGTATGGCCTTCAATTGAAGCTGCTTCCGCTCCGCCACTTCTGCCATTGGACTCTTGATAGTCGTCTCCCCACACTTCTGCTGGGGGAACTTTTTAACATAGGCCTCTGTAATGGCCTTCAATTAAGCTGCTTGACGCTTCGCCACTTCTGCCATGGTGCCCCTGTACCAACCGCCTACCTCTTTGCTGCTGCCAGGTCCAGAGTGTGTTCATGGGTCCCTTTAAATACGGCCTCCCATTATGCTGCTGACTTCATTGCCAGACTCTGCCATGTGCCACTTTCAGGTACTCCTTACACTGTTGGTTGGGTTTCCATTTTTGTGATAGGGTGCATGTATGGCCTTCCATTGCTGCTAGCCTCCACCGCCCACCAGTTATGAACTGTGCCATTGGTCCTCTGTCCGTCTGCTCACGGCTTCCGCTTTTAACCGAGGCCTGTGTTTGGCTTCCGAATACTGCTAGCACATCCACCGCCACCCTGGCGCCATGTTGTCTCTGACGCTACTGCTCACGCTGACTGCTGACCGGGCTTCCCGTTCCTCCTCCCCGCTTTTTAACCTAGGCCTGTGTATGGCTTCAGAATAATGCTAGCCTACCACCGCCACCCTGGCGCCATCGTGCCCTCTACCCCCCCACCCCCCCTGTCGTCTGCTCACGCTGCTGCCGCTAGGTCCATACTGATTCATGGCCCCCCTGTAAACCGGCTCCTCATGAATGTGGGGATCAGCGGTTTGCATCACTTAACTGGCAAATCGTTGACAAATGCTGGATAGTACGTTCAGTGTTGTGCGCATTAAGCCAGACACCAAAGGGGCAGCACAGACCTGTTATTACTCGCTCAAGCAATGGCTGAACAAAACCAGTCACTACCACAAATTGGACCCAGACCTGCCCAGGGTCTCAGTAAGTAGATTGCAGGAGGATAGAGTTCGTTATTGGAATTAACTGTGAAGGGACTTTTAAACCTAGGCCTGTTGTATGGCCTTCAATTGAAGCTGCTTCTGCTCCGCCACTCTGCCATTGGACTCTTGATGAGTCGTCTTCTCCCACGCTGCTGCCTGGGGGAACTTTTTAACATAGGACCTCTGTATGGCCTTCAAATTTTAGCTGCTTACGCTCCGCCACTCTGCCATGGCCCCTGTACCCGCCCTCCTCATGCTGCTGCAGGCCCGTAATCTGCCATGGCCCCCGTACCGACTCCTCATGCTGCTGCCAGGTCCAGAGATGTGTCATGGGTCCCTGTACGGCCTCCCATTGCTGCTGTCGTCCATCGCCACACTCTGCCATGTGCCACTTCAGGTCTCCTCATACACTGCTGGGTTGGGTTCCATTTTGTCATACGGTTGCTGTATTGGCCTCCCATTGCTGCAGCCTCCAACCACCGCCACACTGTGGCTCCACACCTCTGGTTTTGGCCCTGTGACTGCCCCAATGAGTGAAGTGTGCGGTGATTCTAAGATCGACGGCACTCATCTGCATGTCCATACTGACTGACATTCTATTATATTCTCTTCCCCAGCAGACATCCAAGGGCATTTAAATTAAAGGTACAGTGTTCTGCACTAATATAAAGGCTCTCTGAAGCTTAGAAACACCCATTTTGTATAAGTTAAATTGCAGCGAAATATTCGGCTCGAAGCGAATTTATTCCGCGAATTCGGCGAATCAGCCGAACCGAATTTTTGAATAATTCGCTCATCTCTACTCCTTACATACAACCCAATTCCAAAAAAAGTTGGGACGCTGTGTAAAATCTACATAAAAACAGAATGCAATGATTTGCAAATCTCATAAACCCATATTTTATTCACAATAAGATAGAAAACCATCATATCAAAAATCAGATGTTTAAACTAATAAAAATATACAATTTTAAGAAATAAGGTAATTTTAAAATGGATGGCAGGAACACATCTCAAATTTGGGCCAGACATTTTTACGAAGGTGTAGCATCCCCTCTTCTTTTAACAATGCTCTATAAACATCCGGGAACTCAGTCAAGGATTTGACAACTTACCTCTCCCAAAGCTCCAGCAACTGGTCCCCAGATATAAAATTCTAACAGCTCAACAGTCCTGGGTCTTCTTTGTCATGTTTTCTGTTTCAAGATGTGCCAAATATTTTCAGCTGATGAAAGGTCTGGACAGCAACAGGCCAGTTAAGCACTCGGACTCTTCTACTGCAAAGCAATGTGTTTGTCATAGATGCAGTATGTTCATTGTACTGCTTAAATATGCAAGGCCTTCCCGTGAAAAACATTGCTGATCAACAAGCTGGTCTCTCTCCTCTTTAGTTCGGAGGATGCAGTGCCCATGGTTGCCAAAAAGAACGTCTGTCAAATGTTCTATTTGACCACAGAATAGTTGTCCACTTTCAACAGACCATTTTAAATGAGCTTTGGCCTACAGAAGATAGCAGTGTTTCAGGATCATGTTCAAATATGGATTCTTTTTTGCATGATAGAACTTTACCTTGCATTTTTGGATGGCACGGCCAACTGTGCTCACAGACAGTTATTTTTAAAAGTATCCCATGCAGTGATGACCATCATAGAATCATCAAATGACAAACCTGCACCGCAGGCAAAACCAAAAAAAGGAAACACAGATGAATGTGATTATGGCTGTTGCAGTCTTCAAAATGTGTCTAACTTCCACATTTGTGAACCCTATAAATGTGGATATCGAACACACTGCCAAAAATGTGAATCAAGATTACTAGTTTGCCAGTGGTGGGGTTTTTTTTTTTTTTTTTTGGGCACTTTATTGGCAAATACAACTACTGTCCAATATATCAATAAGTCCCATTCAAAAAAAGTTGCTTAAAGAAACAAAAAGGTAGTAAACAGGTGCTGGTGCCATTAGTAACAGATAACAGTGACCCCCAGATGGATTTACATTCACCACAATGGATGGACCTTCTATTACTAGATAGGTCTCACTGCACTTTTTTTGGTTGGACCCACTGAGTCCAACATATTATTTTACAATAGAAATCAAAAGATTAACCCCTATGAAGTCTTCCTGACACCAAGTATGGGATTACAGTATGTAACTAGAACAGGGTGGTTCCTCAACACACACACACCTCCCATCTTGTTTCCTGGGCATACTGTTTGTCTTGCCATGGTAATTAGATCAAGGTGTGTCTGCTTGCGTGGATATATCGTAACTGCTGGGTATTTTTCTTGGCACTCAGAATAGAAAAAGTAGCTTAAATAAACTACAACATGTCTTCAAATCTGCAGAACAAGTCAGCTGAATATGACTACTCATATTTCATATACCTAGTAGTAGTTAATCTCCCCACCTTTACGTACAAAGGGAAGTATTGTTGTCATTCCAAAGCCTGATGAGAAAGCCCTCTAAGCTCAATTCCTATTGAGCCATTTCACTTACTCACTGCAGGTGTTAAAAAATGCAGAACTAACAATGAAGATACTTACGGGTGTGTCGCTTGAGGGAACCCCCAGTAGCCTATCTATTACAAGATCCTACCTTATCTATCCAAAAGCACAAAACATCCTTGCTAAAAAGCATCTCCTCAATGATGCCAAAGTCTGCATCCTGGCACTGAAAAGAAATCCTCCCTCCCTGCCAGAATTGCAGAAATACAACAAGTGGAAAATCTTACTGTGGCTATAGAAGACTAGGATCCCTATTATAAGGATCAGATCCATTAACTGCCCAGTGCTCTGCTTTGCAGGACTTAATACTACTATGGCTGTGCGTTACTCCGCCTTCCCCAATCTTCATCCCTCCCCTGTTATTTTTTTTTCTTCCTCTGTCTCTTTCTCTTCCCTACCCCTTATGAGAGTATGTACTTATAGAGTATGTACTTACAGAGTATTTACGCTTTATGTATTCTCAAAAAAAAAAAAATCTCTGGCAAACGGTGGTCGTTCACTTGGTACCCAAGATGAAATTATTAAATCTGGGGCCTGAGATTTGTGTTTTTGAAATGTTTACTTTTGTTTCACCAAATCTCTAGGACCTCTGCTTCTTGTCTTTATTGTATACCTGATCTATACTTTGTAATATGTATCCTATGCCAATTTGTCCATTTTAAATTCTTATACTATACTAAAAGCAACATTTCTAGCCTTATGTTTATTTAGAATCATACATAAATTGTTAACTTGTGACCAATTGGCATTTATCCCCCCTGGACTGACAGCCATAAACATATGAAGAATGTTTATATATATATATATATATATATATATATATATACACACAAACCAGCTTATCAATCACAGGGAATAGAACAAAACTGTCACTTAACCCTGCCAAAGCATTTGACAGCGTTAAATAGAACTATATCATGGAGGTAAAGGGAGTCCTACCTAGACGTCGCACATCACAGCAAAACCCTGTAAGGAACTGTATGACAGCCTCAGCCCGGGCTCCAACCAGGCCGTGCCCCCCAACATGGTTCACTCCACCACCAGAGCTTAATCATGGGCTTTGGCAACTGAACCACTTGCAATGGCAGAATTCTCACATTGCTGGATTTGTGCGGCATGGGAAAGGACACAATCTTGTACATAGATAATGCCCTTCTATTTCTGGGTGATGAACAAAACAGAGAGAAGATGACGACTGCAGTACGGACCTTTGGTAACTCATCGCATCTTACAATAAAAGTGGGATAAGTCAACCTTATCTAAACACACCCAATCCCACATTGTGCACAGCAAGTTCAAACTGTTGACTCCTTCTAGTATCTAAGTGTGATCATTTTGTCAGATCTGCTGGTCCAGCTTAATCTACTTCCCCTGATCTCTAGGTTTAAAGAAAAGTGTAAGAGCTGGACCCGACTGCACCCAACCATACTATAAAAATGGTATGGGCACCCCAACTTCTATATATAATTTACAGTACACTGTCATGGCAACGCACACTTATGGCGACTAGCTAACCTTAACTGGAGTAAAGAGGGAATGAGGGGGGCATACTTTGAGCATATAAGACTGACTGTGATACCCTTTCACAGCCCGCACTGCCTCCGGGCACCACTAGAGGGAGACTTCACTCCAATATAGCTGGCTGACCACACACAAGCAGATATGAATCTTATATACAATCTGGTGCATTCTAAGGGTTGAGGAGCAGTCTAGCAATTAGTACACCTTTCTAGGATTCCTCCAGCTATCCTACAAGCTAGAACCCCGGTGTTAATCACTCTTCCTACTGTCCCCACACAAGACACACAAACGGTAACTTGCCACCACCCAACAGTTTGCAGACTGGCCTGCTAGGCCACCACACACATATACCTCCATCTGGCAGATCTGCTAGTTTACAATCTGCATGCAATCTGCCAACACAGTGCAATTGCATACAGATTGGCGGTGATCTTAGGCCGAGCATATAGGCACTGCAATACAACAATCTCTCCAGTGATATCCTATTTAGTATACAGAAGTCCCTTAGTAATTTTATCATTTAATATCCCAAAAGTTGGCAGTGCATAAAATATATACAAAGAAACAGCACTGTGAAAAAAAAAAAACCCACAAAGACGACAAAAAGACGTATACAATTGGCTGCTCACTGTGAAATAAAAAGGGAATAAAAAAAGAAATAAAACCTTTGCCAAGATTTATCCTGTGACTGGAGCAAGTCGAAAGAAAGTACACGATTCGCCAGTCAAATGGAACCTGCTCCATACGAATCACACCGTTCATATCTCAGGGCCCTCAATTTATTGAAATACGGATGTGGGTTGGACTTTAGGCCTTGGCCAATCAACCCTGGGGGATGTTCCTGTACCAGCCCACAGGACTTTCTGTGTTCTGAAGTGCCCAATCTCAAATGGGCCAGGAACGGTTCAGATCGTTCGGTTAGGGACAGGATATCTGACTCCAGCGCGCCAGTCCAATCACAACAGTACCAATCACTGCTCAGCTGTCCAATCAGACACCATATAATGATTTTGTGTGTTTATCTGGGATTCTACATAGGCTACAATTACAGTTTTACATGTATATGTAGCCTAAAATGTGTCCAGAAGGAATTACTTTCATCTCTCTGCAACCAATAGTTTAGCTTTTATGAGAGATGAAATAGATTCCTCTAATCTGTTGATATAAATCAAACCTAGCAGACAGTGCAGAGCCTTCTGACTGTCCCCTGCTGTTTGTGTAGCAGAAATGGCTAGGACTTCTTTTGAAATGTCAAGAAGGTGACAAATCCATGTTTATTTGGATGGGAAAGTTTTATTGTTAACTGCTTGCCCACTGCCCTTTAGTAAAAACTACTGCTACAGGGCGGCAGAGCTGCACAAAATCATGTATATATAAGTGATTTGTATTTTCAGGGTAGGGGGCACGTGCCATTGGCGGCTAGGCATGTCAATTACCAGGTCCCCGCCGGAGTTTCCCCCCGACACCCGGCGATCGCCCTGTAGAACTGACAGGGGAGAGACCTGTGTTTAAATAACACAGGTCTCTCATGCCGGCAAGGACATGCTGCTGTGTATTTCTCT